CTAAGGGCCTGGGGTTGGCATGCACCCCTAAATTAATAAGCCCTCCCTGTAGAACTGTAGCTAAAGCTGATGACCTAAGTCCCACACAGGGCCCTCAACCAAAGAGTGAAGAACTAGCCTGCACCCTTCCCATAAATAAGCCCCAATTCTCAACACAGCCCTGGAGTGCACACTTGGGAGGCCCCAGTGTCCAGGGGAAGAAACTGAGGCTCAGAGAAGTTCTTCAACGTGCCCAGGATCGCACAGCTGGACTTTAAATTCAAATTAAGTTGACTGGCAAGGCCACCTGTTTCCCTTTAGCCACGTCAGCCGCTCACCCCACTATACTCTCTCCGTCTAATTAAAGATTAGGATGCTAAAAGAGCCCCTCCCCGGCCTCAACCGGAATCCAGGCGCCAACCACCACTCCAAATGGGGCACATCTTTGCCTCGAATTCTTCCGCTATGGAGGTAATGACCTCTTTGGGATTCCAAAACATAACCCGGAAAACGCACAGACGTACACACATAATTATGCATACCACTGTGGGGTGAGAGAGGGAATCACGGATCCCCCAACACTCTCCTGGTCTCTCCTGGGTAAGCGCTGCGCCTGCGGTATCGCGCCGCCACCCACCCACCCGCAACCACCTGTGCAATACGGGGAAGTGCTGGTGCCAGCCTGGCTGCGCGGAGTCAGCATAGCCCTGGGCACAGAGGTACCCAGAAACACGGCCCGACCCCACGCAGGACCCCACGGCCACAGGAGCTTTGAACGCCAGCGCTCTCGCGATTCCCCTAACCACAAGCCGCGCCGCTTCCTCCGGGCTCCCATGCAAAGCCCGAGCAGCCCCAGGACACCGACCGGAGAAGTGGCGTCGGCCCCGCCCGAGGAAGTGGAGGGCGGTCAGGCTCGGACCCCCGCCTTCACCGCCTGGGTCCCCAGCACAGCGGACGAGGACCCAGACGGTGCTCCCCGACGGACCCTTGCCCGCGCCAGACGCGCCCTGGCGANAAGGAAAGAAGGAAAGAAGGAAAGAAGGAAAGAAAGAAAGAAAGAAAGAAAGAATTGTTGCTACAGCTACCGTGTTTCCCTGAAAACAAGCCCTAGCCGGAGAAGAAGCCGTAGCATGATTCCTCCAGGATATGCAGGGCACGCACCCCTCACGTGACAGTTTTATGACCTGTTTCAGAGAGGACGCCTTTTCCACAAACTCCTTCAGCTTAAAATATTAAAATCTTGCTACAGCTTATTTGCCAGCTAGGTCTTATTTGTGAGGAAACAGGATAATAGCAAAATACTAGAAACAGCCCAAATGTCCCTCTCTGGGGGTTACACAGTTATACTGCAGCCAGAATGTTATATGGCCATGAAAGAAGGTGGCAGATCAGTGTGCTAGTAAGAAATCACCTCCCAGATAATTATTAAATTTGTTTTTAAAAAAAAAATCAAGGTGCAGAAGTATACATAGTAGGCACCCATTTGTGTAAAAAAGCACCACCCACACACACACACACACACACACACACACACACACACACACACACTCACTCATGACACAAGCACAGAATACTTCCGGAAGACAAAGGAACTTGATAATGAGCTTGCCTGTGGAGCACAGGATGAGGTCTGAGGAAGAGAGACATTGATGTATGATTTTTTTTTTTGGTTTTCCCCCATGTGTGCACTTTAATTTGTTCAATTAAAAAGCAGTCAATAAAAAATGCAAATTAAAACAAGTCTCTGCAACTGAAAATTGCTTAAGTCTCCTTACTCTGTTAAAAAAAAAACAGTCTTAGAAACTTTAGGAACTGAGCCAATTGCCCAATCTAAGGGGGGTGGGGAAGGGAAGATGCCTCCACCCGGACCAGAACTTCATGTGAAAGCTGCAGAACATTCAATGATGTGCTTGCTCTGTCCACATGGAGCTAAAGTAAAGGACTTTTAAAGACTCTGTAGTTAGCAGCAAAATGAAACAGGCATTTGTTTGGCTACCAAGCTATGAGTCTGTGGAAGCTCTGGCGAGTTGGCCCTTAAGAGGGCAGACAGCGTGACCATCAACGGGAACCAGCAATGATCCTGATGCTGCCAGACAGAGCCCACCCCATGCCAGCCCAGGTGAGCTGTCTGAATGTCCCTGCCAAGTTGGGCCTCTGTTACTTCACCAGTAAACTGGCTCAACTGCCCCCACCTGCTCGGAACCCCATCAGAGACCCAGACGAAGTGGCCACGCTTTCACTGCTAGAAGACTCGAAGAAGGTAGGTCAAACCAACAACGGCAGTGACAAGTAAAGGCAGGAAGGTGAGAAGCACAGGCCAGGACTCAGGGAGGACAGGCCACGCTGCCCTGTCCAGCAGGTACTCACAGAAGCCCTCGATTTTGTCAGCCGTCTTACTCCAGGCCACCTGCCGCGTCTCCATGATCACCTGGACGGTCCTCCGCTCCGGGGTGGACTTGCGGAAGCTGAAGACGGTCATCACTGTGCCCAGCTCCAGGGCTCTCTTGATCTGACTCTTCTCATATTCCGGAAGGGCGTCCACGTTGACCATGGTGGGCATTGTCGGCCACTCCAGGGAAAAGAAAGAAGTGAGGAAACAAGGAGGCTGGAAGGGCAGAATACAGGAGTGAATTGGTTTTAGTTAACTGAGAGGGGTTTAGTTAACAGGGCTTGGAGATCAACAGCCAAAACCCTGTCTCATGCCCATCAGGATGAGGGTGAGGAGAAGGTTCTAGTGGCAGCGAATTGCTGACAACTCGGAGCCCACATAGGACACACACAGGTTTAAATGGAAGTGGAGGTGTGGGTGGAGGCCTGTGACCTCAATGACCCAACTGTTAGGCAGGCTTTGAATAAACAAATCACACCGGCCTGGCAGTGACCTCCACCGTCCCCACACACTTTTATGCTGTAGAATATTTGAATAGCCAAAGCGGCCCAGACTGGCTCCCACCGCCAACGCTCAGCCTCTTTTGCTATCATGCCTAGCCATTTCTAAGCACCCCTTTAGTTCCTAGGTGAAGTTGGGAACAGAAGGGGGGTGGGGTGGACTTCAGAATGTGTCTGTGGAGACCTCTGTATGGAAGTGGGGCCAAAAGGACACAAAAAATGTCAGGGCCCATCAGCCCCAAGTTCAAATCCTGGTGTAGGCTCCTGACTGTGTGGTCCTGGGCAGGCTGGGTGACCTGTGAAAGCCTCAGTTTCATCCTTTCTAATGGGAATGTTGGAACACTTAGGAAGCTTGGGATGCAATGTCACCAGCAAAGCACCTGCGTGCTGCTTGGCACCCAGCAGGTGTTCTGAATCTCCATTTAGTCCCATGCACAGCCGACATTTATCAGAGAGGTGATGGGGCCCCAAATATTGGAGCCATCTTCGTCTGGCCTCTCCTACGACCACATCCAATCCACCCGCAAGTGCAGAATCCAACCCGTCTCGCCCCTTCACAGGTTCTTCCTAGGATCTTATACTTGGATTATTCTAAACACCTACTAACCAGTCTCCCAGCTTCTGCCCCAAAGCCCTACAGTCAGCCCTCAGACCAGTAGTGAACAAGAGTGAAATCACGTTACTCCCCTGCTCAACCTGCCATGGCTCCCTGAGCCCCTGCTAATTCTGCCTCCCAAACATCCAAAGACACACTGCCTGCCACTCAAGAGGGGACTTGAACTAAAGGCTGGCTAGCTGCAGACCCTACACCAAGGCACTTAAGCCCCCTGGGCCTTACTTCCACATGTGTATAGGGGGAGGATGGATAGATCACAAGCCCCTCCAAAGGTTCTGATGAGGAGGAAACCGGATAATACATCTCCAGCCCTTGGAACAATGAAGCAAAGTCAGTGCTGCTCAGATTTAGCTATTGCTCCCACTGTCATCAATTGTTCTGTGCATCTTTCTCATCTCCTCCCCTCCCTCCAAATTCCATTAGTAGCCCACAGCTGTTACTCTGTGGAGAGGCAGGTGGCCAGCCAAGGCTGTCTGGACCTCCAGTCTGCCTCTGATCTCCCGTAGCCTCCTGACAAGTTGCTCCAACCCAGGGCCTCAGTTCCCTCACCTGTAAAGTGGGGATATCCACCCCAAGGGGAGCTGGAAGGACTGAAAGCTATAATGTAAGCACATCCCCTAGCATTTAGAAGGGCCTCCAATATTAATCAGCCAGTTG